ACTGTGTGGATTTCAATAAGAATTATAAGAGGAGGTAAAAGGTTACAGGCCTTTATTTTCTTTATGCTGAAGATATATGGTTTTATTGCCATGCAGGTAAATTCTGAAACCAAAATTATTATTTTGGTAAATATTCTCTCAACACAAATGACTGATAACCAACAAGTCTATATTTCAAAGTAACTTATTTAGTTACATAAACCTAAATTTTATACCTAAATGATTTTGGGAATTACATTGGCTAATATTGATTTCTATGAATCCACTATTGAAATTTTTACCATGACCAGGGTAAGCTTCGTAACTTTTTTACATTTCTCTCAGGCTCGAATGATCATACCGATGCTCTACTTGGGAACTTCAATTCTTTATTTATCCATGTGTGAGAATGAACTTGGACTGTCTTCTGAGGAAAACTCTAAGCCTGCGTATAGTATTCCAGAATTCTCTCAGCCCATTTCTGTGCATGTCTACTCTGATGTGATATTGGTTTTACTTCTGAATTTCCCTACAGGACTATTAATTTCACATTTCACTTATTCAAATATTAAATTTTATATCTCGTTCTTATTTGGCAACATAGAGAATTCATGCTCAGATTCTTGCCAAAGAATATAACCTTGAGTTCTCTGATGCCACATTCTGATCAAAGGTTTAGTTATGAAAACAAATATCCTAGTATTGCTAGGAGGCTATGCAGTTCACCCTTCCCTCCATCAGTATTTCTTAAACCAGTGGTCCCCAACCTTTTTAGGAAGACAATTTTTCCACTTCCACAGACAGGGTGGGGGGGCATGCGGGGGAGCATTGTGGAGCTCAAGCAGTGATGTGCAGCCCATTTCCTAACAGGTACCAGGTTGTGAGCTGGTGGTCAGGGATCTCAGTCTTAAACTATATTCCACAGTATTATTATTCTGGTATATACTAATACATGTTTCATGGGAAAGAAAAGAGGTTTTCCAAGGTCAAATAAGTTTAGAGAACATTAGGAGAGAAGGAATTCTTAGATACTTCAAAACGCTAATGTACAATAACAATCACAAGAACATAATATGCAGTACTGCACCACTGTCTTCTCCTCTCTATTTTCTTCTTTTTCAGCTTCACAGTTTTTCTCTATTGAGTCCCCAGATGTCTCTGTTGCCGCTCCCTGTCATCCACACCTGAGCCGCAACTGCTCTCCACTTTCCTCAATCCAATATTCTACCTTCCAGCAGGCACAATCTGACAATTGATGTCTCTAGTCGCCTATCTTGGCTGTTTTCCTCTAGCATTCAAATTTGACTACTCTATTCTAAAATATTTATGGCAGAGCAAAAGATCAAGAACAGCAGAAACAAGTTTGAAGAAAAGAATAAGGTAAAGAAACTCACCCATCTAGATAGCAAGACATTTGAAAGCAACTGTTAATGTAATTAAAACTATGTATGAGAGATACAAGGATGGACAATTCAATTCATAAAACAGAACAGAAAGCCCAGAAACAGACGTGTGTATGAAAATGTGACATATGACAGTAATGGTATTGCAGGTGAGAAAGAAAGAATGTGTTATTCTCCAATTCATACTAGGACAATTGATTATCTATATGAAAAACTAAAATACAATCGGACATAGTGGTATAGTGGAGGTAGATAAAACTGACAGGTTGCTAAATATTCAAGAATTTCAAATGCTTATTTTTAAACTATTGTAGCTGGGAGTCAGCCATGCTGGGAGTATTTTAAACAATGGAAATCAGCAAATGCTACATATTAATATCAGGGCTCACCCACTCAACCCAGAACCAGTTTACCAACATATCACTGATTGCATTTCTACCTCACACCATATACAAAAATCAGTTTTAAATGAAAATCAGTTTTAAAAACTTAAGTGTGAAGAGCTAAGTTTAAGACAGAGCAAAATACACAGAGGAAAATATCTTTAAAATCTTGGGGCCAAGAAGGAGTTCTCAGCAACAAAGTCATGTAACTTAAGGGACAAGTTTGCTAAATTTGACTACATTGTAATAATTTGTAAAACTACACTGAAGGGTCATCAAAGGATATCATAGAAAGGTGAAAGGACAAGACCAGATTGAAGGATGATAATTGCTACACACATAAAAAGAATTAATATTCAAAAATATATTAAATCCATATATTAATCAATAAGGAATAGGTGGATACCCCTCTAAAAAATAGGCAAAATACTTAAAAAGGAATTGTTTTTACAGGAGAGGATATCCTAATAACCAATAAAAAAGAAGAGTTCTCAGCCTTACTAGTTACAAATTCATAGCATAATGAGACAATTCACTTCTCTTATGTTCATTAAAGTGTGACAAACCCAAGTGTTGGTAAATATGTGGAACAATTCATACCCTGTGAGAGAAAGCATATATTGAGAAAACCACTTTAAAGAGCAATTTTAGAGAGTCAGTAAGTTGAAGATACTGTAGCACAGATTACTAGTTGGTCCCTAACATTCATTCATTATATTCATTTCTTGCGGAAGAGGGGGAGCAAAGCAAGCAGGAGCAATTCTATTTGTTAAGTCTCATTTCTTGTGAAATGAAAGTGGAAAGTTCATGGTTATTTTTATAGGTCTAAAATATTTCAAATTGTAAAGATGTTTAAAGTGTATTGGGTGACACACACCTACTTCACTTTTTGATATGTTGCATTTAAATGCTCATTAGGCATCCAGATGAATCCCCTTGTGGAGACTAAAATGTGGATCTGGAATTCTTTCTTGAAATTTCCTACTATAAACATGTCACCTCTCCTTGAATAGCTTTGGTAGATCCTTTTCTGATATCCCATACTTGTAGATTCCCCAAAATGTCTTCCCAAGGCTTGTGATAGAACAAACTTATGTATAGAAGTTATGATCTTTTTTTTTTTTTTTTTTTTTGAGACAGAGTCTCACTTTCTTGCACAGGCTAGAATGAGTGCCGTGGCGTCAGCATGGCTCACAGCAACCTCAATCTCCTGGGCTCAGCGATCCTACTGCCTCAGCCTCCCGAGTAGCTGGGACTACAGGCATGTGCCACCATGCCCGGCTAATTTTTTTTGTATATATATTTTTAGTTAGTCAATTAATTTCTTTCTATATTTTGGTAGAGACGGGGTCTTGCTCAGGCTGGTTTTGAACTCCTGACCTCGAGCAATCCACCCGCCTCGGCCTCCCAGAGTGCTAGGATTACAGGCGTGAGCCACCGCGCCCGGCCATGATCTTTATAGGTAACATACCACTATTGGATCTGTATATGAAGCAATCTCATATAAATTATAGTGCTACAGGCCTGCCTGAGAGAAAGACACATCTCCTAGATCAGAAGTCGCATCTGAGTAGGAGCTCTTTAGATGATCCACAAAGATTAAATGTCATCTGGGCCTTACCCATACAATTATCGAGGTGTCTTCTGGGAAACAAACTTCTACATTATGGGTCACAATATGATAGCCTTCCCAAGGATATAGACCAAGAAATTCTAGGAAACCTGGGGAAATTATCTGAGAAATTGAAGTAGCCCTTTCGGTTGAGGTTATGCCTATTCGAGGTTGGCAAGCCACAGAAGCTAATTAGTCTTGGTAGGGAATAAAGAGAAGGCAACTAGACTGTATTGATTGTTTATACACAGTGCTATCATTTCTAAGAGCATCCCATAAGATTTAATCCTCACAACTCTGTAAGGTAGGTATATTTCTAATGAAGATACTGAGATTCTCTCAAGTATCTTAGATAGATATTTTGACAATTTATATTGAAAGCAGAGTTTAAAATGCAGAACTTGGGGTAAAGGGTGTGTGGAGATGATATTAATAACCAAAGGGAGAAGGTACAAACTAAAGTCAACAGCTTTTTCCCACCTGATTATTCTTCATGTGTTAAAACTTTCGGTTCCATATTCAGGCTTCATGTAATTCTACACATTTCTTTTTGATTCTCTTCCTCAATCCTTTATCTTCAACTATAATTGCAATATAAATTACTTCAAATTTTGCATCTCATTAACTCCTGGTTTTCAAGCTTGCATTTTCAAGTATGTTTCAGAAACTTCAAGTTCAACATGTCCATACTAAGCCCATTATCTTTTATTAATCTCATTCCTTCCTTTTTGCTCCCTGCCAGTTAATGGTCACAGACCTCCCGGATTCCTATGTGTTACCCCACCTCCACCATGCAATTTTTGCAGATTTTATGACACTTTCCTACTAGATGTGGCAATGACTATTTCAAGTTATTTCTGTGTGTCAAACTCTTTTCCCAGAATATTTTCAGGGGCCAATGACTACAAAAAATAAGAACCAGAACTTTTTAATGAATACATTCCCTGCAGATGTGTACTGTCACCTAAAACGTAAGGGTTGCACATGTTTCAATGGCTCATGACATTCAACATCAATTATATGTTTGAATTTTTATAATTAGCATCTCTCATCTAGTTTAACATTTTTGAATGTGCAAACTTCTTGTAACACTTCAATAGGACAAGACAATTTAAAAAATGTGCCTCAAAAGCAAACAGAAGTGATATAGAGAACTGAAAACACCCAGGTGAATATAAATGTCCCATTAAAACTTGTCCTGGGCAGTGGGCTGCAGGATTAAGTTGCGAAAGTAAGTGAAAAAAGTACATGCAAAAGTGAGAGAAATGGGAAATAAGTGGAGGTGGAGCGGATAAACACTAGAAAAGAAGCAACTCCCCCAAAAAGCAGTACGAAAGGTTCCTCTGATATGGGAAGGCAAAACATCAATCACCACCGCAGCTCTGTGAGCTACTAATGTCCAAATTCAAGTAAACGGTAAAGGCAGGTTTTTCCTCACGTCGTATTCTTAAATTTGGCAAACTACCGCCACCCCTGCGTCAGCCACAAGTTTCTCCCCGGCATTCTTAAGGAAATCACCTGGAGAGCCGTCTCCCAGCCCAGGGACGCGCATGCGCAAGCTCAAGCACAGCGCTCTCCACGCGTCACCCACGCTTTCAAGCCTGGAAGGAAGTGACGCACAGCTGAGGGGCGGGTGGGCTCTGCGCCGGAAGTGTCTTGCAGATAGTAAATAAGCCCCAAAAGGCCAAAGAAACGCTGTCTCCATCTTGTCTGCACCCGCGGCTACTGCGACGTTGCGGAGATGGGGAGCGTCCTGGGGCTGTGCTCCATGGCGAGCTGGGTAAGGTGATTTTTTGCAGCCCCCGGGGTGCTAGCGTGAGAGGCGGAAGAGAAGGCAAGCGGGGATGGGTGAGGTTTGTCGGCAAGGTGGTACCCCACCCAGTATGGAGTGCCTTCAGTCCCATTTTCTTTTCTTCGCCACGGGTCACTCCGATTCAGCTTCAGGGCCTTGGGTCTTGCGAAGGACCATGGTGGCCGTAAAGTGCAGTGGCGATGGGAAGATGACCCAAATGGAAGAAGTAGCGGGAGCTAGTAGTGCCCCTCCCCCACCCTTCCTTCGTGAAAACTGTCTCCTTTCAGGCATTTTTTGCTTTTTTTCTTTTGTATCTGCTTAGACCATCTCTACAAAAGTCTTTAGCTCCGTCTCTCTGTGGAGTACGCACTCTCTTCTCGTCATCTCTTCCCTGGCGACCTCAGACTGCAGCACTGTCATTCCCGGAGGCATGTTGGCCTCTTTGTTCTGTGGCGCAGACTATGATTAAGAAGTGCCGATTATTTGAGACAGCCTAGCCGTAATACTGATGCAGTAATACAGTTTTTGAAATGAGTAGTCCTAGCTCTGCCATTGGGTCTTCGGCTTAATGATATTAGTGAGTTACTGTGCTTCTCAAGTAATAATTTTTGCAGCTGAGCAAGCTGGTCAGTTCTGTGGTATCAAACATCTTTTGTTTTTTTTAGACATAAAGCATGCGTGTGTAATCTGAAATTTCATGCTTATATGTACTCTGCATTTTAATTGAAGAGTTGTTAAGAATAAAACCATTTTCAGTATAGTGGCAAGATTTCTTGTTCCAGGTGGCACAAATTTTAGTTTACTTAAGGTAACCTCTCCCTCTTCCACAATAGTAGATAAAACATTAACAGTACAGTTAATAAAGATGTTTGTAATTTTGGGCTAGGTGTTGGGAGTCAAATCATATATCTTTAGTCTGATTTCCAAATTCCCTTTCTAACGATTGCTTATCTGACTTCCCACAATGATCCCATTTTATATGTGTATATATATCAACCAGCATATTTATTATTTTACATACGTTTTTATTTTACATCTTTTCAAAAAGGTTTTGCTATTACTTGAACTGTAAATGTTACATTTTAATATAATATGTGGAGGTTGTTACTCCATCCAGGCCATTTTCTTGATTCTGTTTTTATTTTTGTAGTTGGGCATGGAAACGTGGTGTGTTTTATTTTAGCAGGATATTAGAGAGTCTACTTTAGCCTACTGACAGTTTATACAAAAGAAGCATATTTAGTGTAATAAAAAGTATTGAAAACTAATAAGTGATTGTTATATAATATTATTTTCAATGTTTGGGGGGAAGATGTCATATAATTTAATTTATCTCAGAGTTTGTCCAGTATCAAATGGGCATGCTGTAGTTCTTTGTATAAGAGATTTAAAAGGAGGGATACATATTTTTTATTTTATTCCCTATCTCCTTTTTTGTCTGAAGGATGATTATCATTTTAAAGAAAGGTTTTAAGTATATTTGTATGTGTTTTAAGTCAGAAAGAAAATAGCTTTAGTGAACACCATGAAAAAAACTGTATTCTTATTAATACTTTTACATGTTGGATCACACCCTTTATTGACTAGAAGAACCTCCATGCTAAAATTGACACTACTTTTTAGTCGCTGTTAATACCAAAGTACATTAGAAAAGTCGTGACAAGGAGGCAGTTTTCTTCTGATAATTAGACATCTGGCAGATAGAGAAACTAGGTGGCCAAGGTTGCTCATCATGCTTCTGAGTCCTTGTGGTCTGTCGGAGAATTTATTTTATTTATTTATTTTTTGTTTTATTTATTTATTTAAAAGTGAGGATCTTGCTGTGTTGCCCAGACTGGTGTATGTTGGCTATTCATACGCGGAGTCATAGCATACTGCAGTCTTTAACTCCTGGGCTCAAGTGAACTCCTCTCCTCAACCTACCCAGTAGCTGGGACTACACACATGCACCACCTCACCCAGCTTAGAATGTATTTTAGAGTTTGCAGTTTCAGTCATTTTTCTGCCCTTTTCTTCCTTATGCCTTTGTCTCTTTATTGATTAATTGTTCAATTTTAGTGCACGCCAGTAGTAATTGAAGGAGAATTTGCTTTATGGTAAACAAATTACCTCTTACACATTCTTAATAGTATTTACTTAGAAGTTTTGGTGAAATTAAAATTTATTCAAATTTTCAAAAGTAGCTTCAGGTCATTAAATTAGATCAGGTAAGCCAGAATTAAAAACAAACCAACCTTGTGCTTTCTTAGTTCAAGTTTGTGCTAGTCAAATTTAATGAAAGTTATTTTCTTATAAAATAATTGTAGAAAATTTCTGAACTGTAAAAAAGTATAAAAGGAAAAAATTATAATAACCACTGAGCAAAGACAGGAATGTTAAATTGTTGATTTTTTGTTTGTTTGTTTGCTTTTTAAGAGGCCTAGAGTTAGAATGATCATAATCCTTGATTAATGGCAGTATCTTTATTGATATATATAGGGCTGTCTCTTTTTTTTTTTTTTTTACTGGTAATTACTTTAAACATTATGATAAACATTTCTGGACCTCCCACTAAATCCCGTATTACCAGCCACATGTACCTATATGTGCTTTTCCCCCATCCCAGTCTCAACATTGGTGTAGTGAGTAGAACTGGCTTTTTGAATGCTTGAATCTTGAATGCAGTAACTATCATTTCTTTGCCCAAGATACTTAAAATAGTTAAATGGTTAAGAAGAAAGATCTAGTGATTTCTAAGTGCCTATTTTGTGCCAAACTATCCTAGATTTTTATTAATAAAATGACTTGTTTTGTAGAAATGATTTGTAGTTGCTATGAATGGTCAAGCAATACACAGTGCAAAGAAAGTAAAAATGTTCCTTCAAAATCCCACCACCAGTAACATTCCTTCTCTTTCCATGCATATATACAAATGGATGAATAGGAAAAAAATACTTTTTTAGGAATGGCAGCATGTTAAACATGTTTTTAAGCAAAGATTAAGTCTAATTTTTCTTGAATTTAACAAAAAAATAAAGGAATTGTTGAATGTTAAGTAAGAATTTCATCAGGAGATTCCTAAAATTCCTAAAAAGATTCCTCTGAGGGGTTGTTTTACCCGCCCCCAACCAGGGCATGGCATTTGGCAATGTCTGCAGACATTTTTCCTTGTCATGGCTTGGGGTGAGAAGTGCCACTAGTGTCTAGTGGGTAGAAGCCAGGGATGTTAAATATTCTTCAGTGTACATCACAGCCTCCAACAACAAAGAATTAATCAGTCCAAAATGTCAGGAGTGCCATGGTTGAGAAAGCCTGTTTTAAGCTTAAGAAAAAGATTGTATAAAACATTGAAAGTGGAGTAAATTTTTAAAGGACATTTTAATTTTAGACTCACTACTAATAAGGTGGAAAAAATTAATGTTCACTTGTCCTGCCATCCTAGTTCTTATAATTGTATAATTTTTAAATTCAAATCTATATACACGTAGTTCTACATGACTTAAGAAAAACAGTACACTGCCTCCATCTCTACCTCATGGGAGTAGTGTTTCTTTAGGTATTTATCACCATATTTCTAAATAGCATGCATATGTTGTATTCTTGGGGTTTTTTTGTTTGTTTGTTTTAGACATTGTCTTGTAACTATGGAACATGAAGGGGAAGAGTAGCAATCTTCCTTCATTTCAAATGGCCCTCATCCCCCACCCGCACCAAAATCACACACTCATGGTGTCCCTTTATCCCTTTATAACACTAATAATTTTGGTTAAATGAACATTATTGTAACTATTTAAATGAGCTATTATATGTAAAGCTATAGTAAGCACTTAAATGTGTTCTTTATTATTTTTATTACTGTGCAGTGCTCTTCATAGTTCTGCCATGTAATAAATATACAATGACTTTTCCTTTCACATACAACCTTTTTGTGCTGATTAGAGTTACTGCTTAACTTTAATTTCTATGTATGTAGTTCATTTAACCCCAGACTTTTCCCCAGCTGTATGCATCTTTCAGTAAGTTCAGATGCATGTGATGATTGATCTAGCCTTGGTGGTTATCTCTCCTGGAATCTTCTGTTCTAGTCTACTGTAGTGATAGTCACTGTTTTTATCCTGGATCTCATTTTGTCTTCAAATGACAATGTACATTGCCTCTCTTGGGTTGAAACTCTTTTTTTTCTGTATTCCTTGTTCTTGGTTTATAATCGTATTTTTGTGAAGTTTTCTTTGACAGAAGAGAGTAAGAGGTTTACTTATGGCCACAGAATTCTAGGTTGGAAGTCATTTTCCCTCAGAATTTTGAAGGCATTACTCCTTATAAGCTCATTTGTAGGGTTGTAGTGTTGCTGCTGGGTATTCTGAAATCATTTTGGGAACCTTTTCTATGTGGTCTCTCCCTCTTCCCCCACCCCATCAATTGATTAAATTTGAGTTCAGTTATTTTCTTCTCTGTATTTTCTGTATTCTGTGTTACTCAGTGTGCTTCCTGGACTGTAACTCTAGGTTTCTTGTTTCCTGTTGTACATCTCATTGGCTTTTTGCATTACTTTCTGAGAAATTTCATCGATTGTTTTCAGGACTTCTGTTAAGTTTTTAAACCTCTCTTATATCATTTTTGATAACCAAGAGTTCTTTCTTGTTCTCTGTTCCATTTTAATAGCATCTTGTGCTTGTTCCATGGAACACTATCCTTTCTTATATAATCTATTTGACCTATATAATATATTCCATAAGTATGTTAAAAATACTAGATATTTTTATGCTTTCATTTCTATTGCATAGTTTGTTTCCTTTAAGTTCCCCTACTTACCCCTGACTCCCACCCTTTTTATTCATGCTAGAGTTTTGCTCAATATTCAGTGGTTCTTGACTATTCATATTTAGGAATGAGACACTAAAGAGCTTGGTAGGACTTGTTAACTGTACTTTGCAGTGAAACGATTTGGCTGTGCCATTTTGTTGCAGAAGCCTAGTACAAGTATTTTTATCCAGGCCTCTTGATATATC